CCCAAACCCAAACCCAAACCCAAACCCAAACCCAAACCCAAACCCAAACCCAAACCCAAACCCAAACCCAAACCCAAACCCAAACCCAAACCCAAACCCAAACCCAAACCCAAACCCAAACCCAAACCCAAACCCAAACCCAAACCCAAACCCAAACCCAAACCCAAACCCAAACCCAAACCCAAACCCAAACCCAAACCCAAACCCAAACCCAAACCCAAACCCACGACTAAGGTCAGACCCAACCTTTTGACTTTTATTCTTCTTAATTAATTATCTCAATAAATACTCATTATAAATCAATATATTATATATCAATATACTCCAAATTGAATATATAATCATAATATAACATAATATTACATCATTATAATGACTTATATAAGTTAATTTCATATAATAGATTAGACAATTAGAATATCAATGAAAACATTTCAAAATCATTTCAAATCAATATATCACCTTTTAAATCATGTTAATAACAATATATATCAATTTCAAATACTTTGGTATCATTTCAGGATGTTTACTATTCAACTTGTCAACTGACCTATACTAACACTGAAGATAGAAATCTTTTCCACTTCAATTCACTTCTAATACATCTATACATGATAATTAAATATATCTATTTGATTTTGAAGATCATCCATATCATACATGGTACTTGGCTGATCTACTTGACACCTACAGGGATGTGACAATTACATCCACTATACAGATCATCATGAAACTGATACAGTACCTTACTAGTGGTGTACAAACACTAGTATATCAGTTTCAAGACAATATGAAATCATCCAACATGTCAGGAGTGTAATCATGAGAATTATGAATGTCAAAATAGTCAAATGATATTAATTTTAAAATATTTCAATTATAATATCATATATAGATCAATAAATCATGGTATATCAATAATTGGTATTGAATTTCATATCAATTCATTCAAACCTTAATGACCTATCCTTAGATGACCAACGCAATTTTAAACTATCATGAATCATATAACTGTTGATACCATTG